GGCCTTAATGTGGATTGAGTAAATGTATCAGTAGCACCCAGAAATCTTCCACATGTGACTCTTTTACTGGAATACAATGACATGTGACTGGGGGGAAAGTATTGTCTGTAAGGACACATGGGTTCCAAGTCTTCTGCTGCAAGTTTCCTTGTTATTATAAAATGGTCCTGAACATAGGAACACACAGAACTTGACTTTGGCAGAATGTCACGTTAGTGGTAAGCAATATTTCTAACTTTTATGAGTCGAAAGTAATAACATCAGTTTTATTACTGAGGCCCATTCACACCACATCAAGATTACCACCAGACCAGACTGTTTCCGGACCCAAAATGCATCCCAATGTATCCCAACGCTATTTCTGGCTTCTGTTCCCAGCAGCGCGGTCCATACGAGACCAGAAAAATACTGCTTGTTCTATTTTGTCTGGTCTGGAATGCACTGGAACGCATTCAAAACGCATGGAACGCACTGGAACACACCTGTAAGACCATTTTGCGGCAAAAACGCAATGCATGGTGTTCCAGATCTGGTCCGGAAAATGGTGTGGACCTAGCCTAGGTGGTTCTTAATTCTTATTTCTGGTCACCTCGTTTTCTCGGGTCCTACGTGTTTTTACATGTGGCTATCAGGAATTCAAGTTCACAACTATAATGAAAGACTTTCAGGCTCTGAGAACCAGGAAGAAAGAACATTCCTTGTGTGTTGCTCTTGATGGAGCCCTAAAGGAATTGAAGCCCAAGATGTTCTTTGGTTCCGGAATGGTAAACTTGCATTAGGCCTTTTGTTCACTAAGAATGCAAAAATAAGGGTTTGCTATCTTCCAAAATGTCTTCTGGTAACACCAGCACCAAAACCAGTGCTGATTGCAAGTAGTCATCATCTGTAAGGTGCTGGGAAATGGCCGCCTTCTGAGGGAAAATGGTTTCCATCATTTTACATTGTGTTACTTAGTGTCATCATTGTGGATTTCCTCGTGCTCCCTTGTAAAGTGGAGAATGAAGCTGGTGATGCTAAAAAGAGGTAAAACAAAAGTCAATGTCAATCCCAGAGAAGTGGATGCATACATTTGTATTACATAGTCCTTTGTATACCTGACGTCAGGCAATAGGCAAGGAACCATACTGGTTTTATACAGCAGAAACAAGGAAGCATTTTACCCCGGAGGGGGTGAACACATAAAAGCCGCACAGAAGATGAAATGACAGAACTGACTTTGACTAATCATTTACGACAACTACATCAGCCATGCCATGCGTTGCAGTAATGCAAAAAGTGTGAATGAGGCCTAAAAGAAAAAAAAACCCCAAGCTGTCACTTAATAATTATAGGGCCAGTATTTTGGGGTATCTCTAAATTGATGACCTGTGGGGGCTTTTAAAGCGTCTTCTATTGACTTTTGTGCTTTGCGATCCTGTGCGGACACTTTACTGCTGAAGACTGTTCTAGCAAGTTTCCATGAATGCTATTCAGATCAGTTTTCCAGACCCCATCGAAAGGAAGATGCAAAGCTGGCCTGTAAAGTGCTTATGGAATTGCATCCTTTGTCGAGGACTCACCTTGGCACTTTGTGTACTGTGTGCAGTTGCCGCAGAGTGCTTTACGGGTCCAGAGCAGTTGTCCATTCTGATGGAGCCCTGTGCCTGAAGATCCCCTGCAAGGGTATATCTGCTGGGAGGGCAAAGACTGGATGGGGCATGGCCCCTTTAAATGACTGTGTCAGAGAGTAATCAGTCAGGGCTAGTCCCTATTAAGTTGATCGGGTTAAAGCCCCTCTCCCTGTTGGGTTGGGTTGGCTTAGGGCCTAAGGCGGGGGTTGTTGCTGTGTTGCCCACCCTTCTGTTGGACTGCTTTGGGACATCTAATCCATTCAAGAATTAACTCCATGTCCTGTTATGTATGATCAAGAAAACAGGAGTTTGGTATTACCTGTAAATTCTGTTGCTTGGAGTGAATTACAGTGCACAAGACTGGGAGGTCTGTGAGCCATTCCTTTACTGCTTGGTACAGAATCAAGGCAGGCTGGGAGTGGGAGGAGTTATACAAGGCTGTCCTAACAGCTTTGATTTGCTTATGTCCAATCGCCTGACGGTAGCTGCATCACCCATCCATTCAAGACTAAACTCCCTGCGTCCTGTAATGTAGTCCAAGAAACAGGTTTACAGGTAAGACAAAAAGGTGCTTTGTTTCCTTACTGCTCCTGTACAAAGCACCTAACGTACAACTAAAATAATAGTCTCTCTTTTGGCCTTTCCATGGTACTCCACCGGGTAGGGTAAGCCCATCATAACGTTCATTCTGCCATTTCACTTCCTCATTAACTTTCTGGATTATCATCAATTCCCTGCCAAGTAAAGATGCTGAAGCAGCTCCAAATTCTATTACACTAATTGAATTCAGTTGCTTCCTATAAATAATAGATCATATTGGAGCTTGTGAAAGATTTCTGCAGGCTTTATAAAACGAGATCTAATGTATGAATCACGTACTCTTTTAATGTATGAATCTATCAAATACTTTTTATTGCATTCCCATCCAACGAAATAAGCAAGGGAAACTTTCACTTTGATATACTATTTGTAGCATTCATTACCACTGAATGTGTTTACTTGACCTAACTTACCAAAAGTAGTGCTTAAATGGAAGCTGTTAGGATAGAAATATGGGCGCTTGCACTGCTAGCTGGTTCTTAAGCTGGCCATACACCTATAGATTATCTGCAGATTTTCTATGGTCAGATGAAGAAAGTGCAACAGATTCCTCCATCTACGCTAAACTGTGTGGATGGAGGAATCTCCCGCTGGGCCAAGCTTCACTATCTTGCTAGTTGGCCCTGCAGGCTGTCAAAACACATGCACAATGTCTGCATCCAGCCGGCGTTCGTTTTGTACAAGTTATCTGGGAGGCTGTACAGAGGGATCACTTGTCCGTCCAATGCACCTTTAATTAAATTCTAAATGATTTCAGAAGCGGCTTAAACTGATGTCAGACCGATGCAATCCAAAAAAAAGTCCAAAGAGTTTAACTGCCATAAACATGAAAAATAAGCAGTACCCCAAAATGTTCCTGGCATCCCACTCATCTTTTATCTGAGCCTAATATGTAAAGGGGAAGTCCAGCCAAATGTTTTTTTCAGTTTTGGAAAGAGTGGGAAAAGATTGGAACCTCTGTCAGGTTTTTACTGCTATATGGGGCTCTGTTAGAGCGATTTCCCCTCACTTCCTGTCCTGCTAACCATTTTTCTACTAGATGGGAAGTGAGGCGAACTCTCCAACAAGCACCACAAACAGAAAAAAAAACATTAGTAGAGTAGGGGAAGGTTTTTGTGAGCAGAGGTCATTGATAGCTAGATGGCCAGGCCGAGTTTACAAGTGTTAACAATAACCCTATGACTAATTTGCATAATGAAATAATTTAGGTGTCATGCTCATGGGTGCATGGGGACTGTACATGTAAAATTCGGGTGTATTTCCCCACCCAGGAAGCCAAAGTGCAGTATACAGCTAACCTATAGATATCAATGACTGTGCACAGCTGTACGGTGAGTATACACCAGAACAGTGGCGTAACCAGAGTTATGGGCGCCTGGGGCAGAACATTTTTTTTCGCCCCCCCACCCCCATATTATATTTTCTAAACAAATGCATGTGTACAAACAAGTTCAGAATGTATGCAGCCAGATGACATTGTTTGTCTGCAAACTAAAGGCTTTCAGTTTTTTCAGTTGAGCCTTCAGTCTGCATGCAATAACTAAAAAACTGACTTTCTTTTCATGGCCCACAGCTCTATTCTGCTGCCAGGAGCAAAAGCAAAGCCCTGTATGAGCGTTACCAGTGTGACCGGTGACACAGAGCTATAGCATCCAGACGTGATGGCACTGACTGGCCCAGCACTATCACATGGGTAAGACACATGTCCTCAGTACCAGGTATTTTCTTCTGGGAGAAGTAGGAGTACAAAGGAAAGGTACATTTAGACTACTGGGACTACAGAGGGGTCTAAGGACAAACCTGATGCATTGCTCTGAATGTGTAAAGCATACAATTGTTTTAACCCTACCACGTAATCTCATCTTTAACAATTCACCTTATCCCTAATACTTTCCCTATCTCACCATTAAAATGACACTAAACTCTGGAGTTAAATCTTAAAAATGAATTCAAGTACCTTAAATATTAACAAAACTGGACCTTATATGTGTATCACTCAGCTGTAGATCCTCAAAGGGCCACTGCACCAAGCTCGCTCCCATGATGGACTACAGTCTCACGTTAGCTAGCTCATTTGTTTTGAAGGTGTAGTCTATCATGGAAGTGAGCTTGGAGCGGTGACTACTTTACAACACACACAGGGACCATGGGGAAGAAAAGTAGCCTACCAGTCCTGTGCCAACATCTTACAGGAACATCTGGGCGTCTAGGGATGTGACACTTATAAAGCAAAAGTCCAAGCAGATGTAGAACACTAATATAGTTATTTATTTAAAAAAATACCTGTATATCTATTTTTTTAACTACAGCTGGTGCTTCCCTGTAATCCCCTGTACAAAAGAACTCCAACTGGTAAGGGAGAAGAGAAGGGGTTAGCACTAGGAGCCAGTAGGCTCTTGTGGATGCCATTGATTACCTCATCAGTCTTCTGCTGCTCCATTAATCTGTAATCATTGGAGGGGGTGGGGAAGTAGCTAATCTGTGTTGCTTAACTGCAGAAGAGTTTAGCTTTCTAGCTACTTTACCTTTCCCCATAAACTATTTAATTTTAGGGCAGAGGAGTTGCATCTGTCACTAACTAGCACTGTGAATGAATAATGATATCATCTTTTAACACAAGACCAATATGTCTATTTTTTGTACTTTTGTAGCCCCTCATGACTACACAAAAATTGTAATTTGGTTAGCATATATAATTATGTGGGGGTTTTTGGGAACTCATCTTTGCACGCCAGCAAATTAAACAAAAACTCACTTACCTTGATTGAGTATTCTTGTTTGGACAGAGTGCTATTGGCCATCTCTCTGCTTTTTATCATTTTTTTTATTCTGTAATTCTGCTGCTTTCAGTTTCTTTTTTGTTTTCTTATCAATAATAGACTGAATCTGAGCAATGTCGAGAGTCACATTTGAGGAAACAAGAGCTTCATAATTTCCAAAGATTTTGTGGAATAACTGTATATGTCCATTATAAACATCTCTTAGGTTTGCAATGTCCTCTTTAATGGAGGCAATGGAAGAACCGAGTGGTTTTATTGTAGCTTCAATCGTACCATTATAAATATGCCCTTCAACAAAATAGGACTCCAGCTTATTTATTTTCTCAGTAAGATTTTTTATGTCCTTTTTCAAGATGGCAACATCACTATATTCAGACTCATCAGTATCCTTCGATGCTTCGTGGCTTGGTTCCATGTGAGCTACATTTCCTTGGTGGAAAGAACCATAATAGGTCTTTTCTTCACTGTGTTGTTCAACATTGACAATTGTGGCTGTAGCTAGTAAATTGTCTTTTTGAGTCTGCATCTCCAGAAAGTTCAATCGGTCAGAAATTGAATCTATTGTTATCTGATGCCGGTCTATCCTATCTACATTACTATTTAGCATTTCATATATTTTTGCTATTGATACTTGTATTGCCTCAGGGTTATCTTCGGAAAAAAGGTCTAGAACTTCTTCACCCAGCAGTGCTTCGAAGACTCTCTCATGTCTTATCGCATCTTCCAATAGAGAGCTAAATGAACTTTTCAGATGTTTGATATGATTATGGATCTGATCATTTTCCAATTTGAGAAATCTAACATCATGAGTAAAGTTTGTGGCTTGAGATTGCAGCTGTGTGGTGATAAGCATGAGGTTCCGCCCCTGTTCTTGTTGGGCTGTGAGAGACTGACGGTTAAGCTGGAGTTCCAATGAGAGATCTTCAACTGAGTTTTGCAGTGATATCTTTGAACTACCTTCTTTTTGTTTCACATCTTCAAATCCATACAAAATGTCCCTAAACTGGTTAGAGAAATTCCTCTGTATTTCCACAAGAGCAAGAATATCTGAGTTCATTTTATGACAGTCACAATCCTTGAAAAGCTCATCAATACTTTCTTGTGTACTAGCAAGAGTGTAGTTAAGTTCCATTATCTGCCGTTGAATTAAGACTTTATTTTCCTCCATAATTAGACTTTTCTCCATAAACTGAACCTGAACCCTTTCAGAATTTTTTTTAAAGTCTGTGCGAAGCTCTTTAATCCATTTTTCCAAAGTAGAAATATTCTCAAAAATGACATCTTGCTCAGATAGCAAATCTTGAATCTCTTTCTCATGCACATTAAGAGTATCATTAATAGTTGTAGTTGTTACCACTTCTCTGTCTCTTGGTGCACAATGCAATGTGATATTCTGAGAGAAATCTAATATATTATCCTGAATCTGTTCCTGACCCCTTTGGAGCTCACTAATGCTAAAGTTCAAATAGGAAAACTGTGTTTGTTGCAACTTCAAGTTTCTCTTCAACTTCATGTCTGTGTCTGCTTTAAGCATGGTGAAGTTAAAGTGCATCACAGCCTGCTGTGTATGAAAATGGTTGGCCATTTCATGTTTTAGCTGATCAAGTTTGTCAACATTTTCCTGAACCTTTGATTCAAATTTTGTTCCCAACTCATAAAGGTCTTTCTTGGGTACAGTATTCTCCAGGAATGTATCCAATCTCTTTCTGTTGGATTCAACATTTTCAGAGAGGTTCTTGACCATGCTATTCAGATTCTGAAGACTTTTGTTGAAGCTGTTCCACACAGGGTTGAAATGAGCCTTTAAGAAGTTTTCCACATGTGGTAGAAATACTTCTCGGAGGAGGCGCTCATCTATTTCTAAATTTCCAAGAAATTAAAATCTTTATTTTATATATAAAAAAAAAACAATGCACATCTGAGAACTGTATTTGCTATCAACATATTTGGAATTATTGTTTGGTCTCTATAGATGTAATAAACTTTCTTGGAGAATATGGTTAGTATGATTTGGATACAAGTACATGTCTGGGCAAGAAAAAAGAAAATCAGTACATCTTTGCAATACATTAACATATACCTATGTTTTGTCTCTTTAAAAAAATCTGTTGAGTCTGCTAGAAATCCAGTGAACTCCTAACTTGTATAGTGAGCTGACAAAGTTAATTCCTACACAGCATTTTCAGCCCAGTCTTAGTTCTCCTCTGCTGGATTACAGAATACCTTCCTCTTATTTCATGGCGATGAACAGAGAGGAGTGTTTTGAAGTTCAGCAAAGGGGATGCTTGGGATTTCGGTGCTTGGAAAAATGTGCATTAATTGCAGAGATGTACTGGACTTCTTTCTTTTTTAACCAGACATACACTTAAATGCATAAAGTGAATCTGTTGTTAAATTGCTAACACACATTTCAGAATACTGTAACAAAACTAAAATAGAAAAAGAATGTATTTAATTATCACACAATCTGAGCATTTCCATGCGTGGTCAATAAAGAGTTTTCATGAATTGCTAATTAATGATGTCTTAGAAAAGAAAAGATAGGTAGAGAATGTACCTATCGCTAGGTTTGTATTTACCATATTGTCATTTTTAGGCCAGTGCCCTGGTAAGCACTAAACCTTTACAATCTGTGATCACTTTTTCCTTGTTTGTTTCCCTCTTCTGTTTATCTTTGTATATGCGTAGCATAAGTCAGAAAGAGAACTATAGGGAGAAGGTGGTGCAGGGGATGATGAGAGAGTCAGAGGGCTCGTTACAGTTGAGGGGAAAAATGGCACCATCTACCTTTTCTCTTATTTGGTAGTCCTTACAGTCAAAGGTAGATCTGAATATAAAACAGAGCATATTCTAGCTACTATAGCACATTCTAGCTGTAGTTTTTACTGAAAGGGTCACAGTACAAAAGCCAGAGCTAGCATAAAGGGCAGCAAGATGTCTAAATGTGGCACAGCCTACTGTGGTACATCCATGCAGTATGTTTGCTGTATGGTGATTGTAGGTGTAGTCGACATTCTGTTAACTTCGAAGGAGCCTGTTGTAGTCATTGTTCAGCACCAGGACAGTTATGTGTAGATTTAGAGATTAAAAGCCTTATTTTAGGTGAATCTCACACAACAACAAAAATGTGTAGTCTTTTAAACCAGCCCTCTAAGCCCATGCCCCTCTTTTGCCACAAATTTTCCTTGCTGAGATGCCCTTACTTTTTCCCAGAACCTCAGTAACACCTCTGTTTGAAGGGTAAGACAACATAGTTTACAACTCTATCAGAGATAAACATAGCACTTAAAGCAAAATAATGCCCAAGCTCATGCAGCCACCATTAGACAATTGGTAAACACAGTGGAGACAATGAACGGGTCCACTAGATGACCTGGTGTTTTTATTCCCAGTTGGGGATATTTGGGATTTGGCTTACTGGCAGCTATTTCCAGCTAACATAAATCTGTTTCACCTTTTTATTTATCACGTCTTGCATTTCAATGCTGCTGATCTCCTCCTGCTTTCAGCTACTTCCTCTTAACATGTTCTCCCTCCAGTGTTGGCTGCACATCACTGTTCTGGACTAGTGGAGGCTTACGCCTGCTAATTTGTGTCAGCACAGCCACTTGTGATCTCCACCACAGATGTATGTGACAGGGTGACAAAGCTGAAGTGCAGTTGGAAGAGAGCGGTCACCTGATTACAAGAAGTTCTTACCACTGAACTTCCTGGTAGCAGCACCAAGTATTTTATATGAAAACAGATTTAAAAATACTAAAAACTACCGATATTAGAATAACGTGGGAAGCTTATACTAGATTTTAGCAAATTGGGATAGAGCTACTCTAATACATGACTGTAGATATAAAAAATGTTATCATTTCAAATGAAAATGATATATAACTGATTTTCATAAAACGGTTTAAAATATTCATTATAAGTGCTATATCTAATCAAAAGAGTGGAACAGACTGGTGCTGAAATTCACATTTTTCATGGTATTTGCTTTTTATGTTGTTATTTTTCATTTATTTCCGTTTTCTTCTATAATTTCATATTGAACAGTACATTGTATGATTGTACCCCTCTAAAAGAAATATTTTGTCTTGTTACCTTTCCTTTCTGTAATGTCTGAATCATTGTGGCTCTCAGGGAAGGCAGTAGTGACATTATGTCCCAGAGCATTCTGTAGCTCCATGAGATGACTGGCAGCCTGATGAATGTCATTCTGTATATCCTCCAGTAGACTCTCTTGGCTTTCTACTTCTTGAATGATTTCTGTCACCTCTGGAAAAAATTACAAAATGTCCGTATGTCTAGGCAAGATCATGGGGGCTGCTGGGTGCCTGGTATCCCCCCTTGTAAGCAGGATCACTTTATATACATACATTCACACATTTTTGTACCCCTGAAACGTGTTGGCTGTCTTGTTGTGAACCAATTTTGTCATTAAATTATTTTGGACATTCACTTTGGTGCTTTTATTATTTGTTTTTTTTTTCCTGTAAACCTGATAGAAGACGTAATGCAGGCTGTCAAAGGTGTCCACATGTTGGGTCACATTGTAGAGCATACGGGGAGCCCAACAGGCTGGTGAGGTCCAATATGCAGAGATGGGCAAAAGAAAGTAACCTCACGCCACAGCATCCCAAGCACGAGTTATTGTTCAAAGTGCACAATATGCCAACCACCCTGCCAAGACTCCACCCTTTTGAACATGTTTAACCCTAAACAAGTTTAATAATTTCTATGATTAAACCCATTATGGGTTAAACGTGTTAGAGAGGGTGGAGTATCAGCACTTTGAAGTTCTGACACTTTCTTTTTCCTCTTTTACTGTGTATGTCGAGAGCAAGAACAAGCTCCTTTGTGGCAGGGGAGGATAGGTCAGCATGGTTCAGTACCAATATCAGTCTTTTTTTCTCTGGGTCTGATATGTTAATATTGGCTTCAGTTTTTGTAATTGTGCTTGGCCCCATCTTACTCCATCTCCTATGCCTGATCCATGAAGTGATGCAGATACCAGCTGCACTCTAAGGCACACTAAAAAGCATTGTGACCCAAGTGTGGTGGTACTCCTAGTGACAATCACACATGGCGTCGTGTAGATCCACAGGATGATAGAAGAGAAGTCACCAGTAGTGATGGGCTCGATTGTTCGTCTCGAACATCGGCAGTTCGTGTGCTTGACGGGCTGCCCGCAAGGCACTGCACCTTGTGAAGCCTTGATTGGCTAAAGCCTTGCCCCTGACCACAGGTCAGGTGCAGGACTTTGCCCAATCAAGGCCCAGTATTTTTTAAGAACCACGATTGTGCCCAATCATGGCTCACCTGTCAGATGCCCTACAACTGTAAACGGTTGAGCGAACTAGCTGTCACTAGCTGTTTTCAACAACTTGTCTTTTATTTTGTATTTTTTCCAAATAAAGGATTTTTTTCAAAAGTCTGGCCTTTTTTTAAAACAATTTTATTTAATCCCTTTAGTGAATGGGTAGGGGTAGTGCCCGCATCCACACAACCAACACCCCAGGGCTTGTAGGGAAGAGGCCCTTGTCCCCATCGGCAAGTGACGTTAAAATCACTGCTCCTTTAAAACTTTTATTCTTTAAAAAAACAAAAATGTTGTTGATACATGACCCCCAGGGCAGTACCCGAAGTCCCATACCTTTTTTATGACCAATAAATTGCATATAAGCCATCAAAAAAAGTTATATCCCCATAGACTTGCATTGAGTTCTAAGTTCGAATTTGAACTTTTCCCATGTTCTAAAGTTCGAATTCAAACCCAACACAAATCACTAATCACCAGCACTCTATCATTCCAGGTGCAAATGTACATGCTGTCTCCTTGAGGAAGGGACTCTGCCCCCAAAACATTGGCTTTATGACCGAAGTGATGTATTCAAAATAATCAAGAGTGTATTTGCACCTTTGCATCTTTGAGTGCTGGTGACCTTTTTTCTACCATCTATTCTCGTGATGGGCATCATCAAAGACTAGTAGTCACGTATGTAAGGGAACAGAGTCAGAAACTAAGGTTTCCATTTGCACATTAGAGGTTTTCGGGCTTTGGCCTTTAGGTATCACTATAAGGTTTGTGACACTACATGCATGAACCTAAATTTCATGGAGGTATGCAGATTAGGACATATAAAGCAAAGAATATATTTTGTTAAATGCGAGTAAGGTGTTGACTGAAGCCAAGCAGAAGCTGTATACATGATATATTCTTATAGGTGATGGGAAGAGGCTTTGTCAAACATTGGTCTCTTATTAAAATACACCAATATTTAATTACAAGAAAGAATATATGATTATACTAAAGAACACCCAAGGAGTAGGAAACAAGAATTTACAACCAAACATTTCCAAGCCTCATTCTTCCGGTTTCTCATAGCAACTACATTCTTTGTCATGTTTCTAGTGCCAAAAGAATGAAAGGCAGAAGAATATTGGCTGCTGTGGAGGCAAGTTCTGCTCTTTTGTTAAACACTGTCTATAATATAACCTGTTATTTTTAAGCTCCTTATATACAGAATTCTCAAAGCATTATCAATTTGCATAGGAGGAACTTACCTGCATTTACTGGGGATTCTTGTGTTGTTTCAGCCTTGGATATGTGTTCCACTGGAATGGGAATAGAATTGGGATCTGTGTGCAGCAAGAGTGAGCAGGAGTTTGTATGAGCGCATGCAGAACTAACAGCATTTATTGTTTCAGTCATAACAGGGATTGTTTCAGGACAGTGCAAAGAGCAATTATATGCAGTAAAATCAATAAGCCAGTGGTATTTAAGCTTCCATCCACATCGAGCAGTCAAAACAATAAGGGTTGATTGCTGATAGGTTGCTGCCTTTTGCTCTGTGCACATCCAGTATTGGCTATAATCATAGCTTCTCTAGAATTTATTCACATCACTTTATTTGTCTTATTCTTACCAGCATATTCACAGGTTGAACCAGTATATCCAGGGCAGCATTTCCATTCTAAACTGGTGACAAACTTTCTTTTTATTTCATAAACTGGTCGTTGCGCGATTCTGTACCTGCAACACAAAAACCTCCATTGAACATGTTTTCCACAAAAAAAAAAATCCACAGACAAAGGCTTGACATTGCCTAACCCTTCCCAACTCTATCCAAAACTAATAAAAATAAGTTTTTGCATACACGTTAAAAATATCTAAATAGTGTTGTAGGAATTTAATTTGTATACTCACATAGTCTTTTGGCAGTCCGGAGTTCCAAACGGACAGGGCTGCTGAGACCTTATCAAATATTTTTCTGTTTTGCACAAATCCACGTATGACACTACTTGGCTTTTCACTACTGAACACCATTTTCTAGATAGGGAAAAAAGAAAACATTAATACAAACGTGTAAGCATTACATTACAGTTAACTTGCTTTCTCTTAGTCAAAAAGTACTTCAAAGGATTCATTAAAGTATATCTCACAGTCACTGCTATTTTTTTCTTCAGTTTGTAATAGAATGGGCAAAGATTAGAAAGGACCCCGTCAGGTTTAACTGCTATCTATGATTCTGTTAGAGAGATTTATCTGCACTTACTGTCAGTGACAACGGTTTCACTTGACAGGAAGTGAGGGAAAAACAGCAACACAGAAATAAAAATTTCTTTATCTCACATTGAGGGACACAGGTATTCTGCAACAGTTTGGGTATAACCAAATTGTTGCAGAATTCCTGAATTCCTCTGACCCTCAATATTTGATAAAGAAATGTTTATTCTACAGGAAATTGGGACACTAGCAAACAGTAAATAACTGTAAGCATGTCGACTTGTAAACCCCTCCTTGACCCAGAATGCCTGTTTTTTGCTAGTGTCCTAGGAGGTTGGGCATCTTTTCTTCAGCTCTGCTGAATAATGTTCACCATCTTGCAAGCCTTCTATCTAGGTGATATTGTATACTTGTCTTTCATCAAGATCCTACATAGACTGCTGCCATTTTTATTCCTCAGTGACTTCAATCAACATTTCCACATCGCTGCTTGAGCTGCTCTCTACAATCCACAGTGCACTTTCCAGGTTCAGAGTACAGCCTCAGTGGGAACCTGTCTCTGAAGACTTACACAGTAAGACCACTTGGCCTGAAGCACCGGTAGAGGAGCTACCTCACCATTGTGCCACTGGGCGCCTTTCAAATCTCCCTGGTTACATCGCAGTAAGGGTTACGGCTGGAGGAAACTGAGTGTAGATGCCATTCACTAGGTGCAGTGTGGCGTGCGCACTCTCTCCACCATTTAGTGTTTTTCACTACGTGGTGCAACATGCATTTTCGAAGACAGTCTTGTAATAACGGGTGACCCTTAGTCCAAACTCCCCTACTGGTTCCAGGGATATTTATCAGGTATCCCCAGAACGAACTGATGCCTGCAATCCATAACCTGGGACCCCCTATCATTATATTGTCCTGATCAGAATCTTTTTCAGCTCAGTCGGGCAAGGCTGGGGCCTCCCCTATGTCCACAAGAAACTCTGTGTCCACTTTGAACTTTTTGTGCCAAATTATTGTAGCAATCTGCTTATAGATTCTTTAAGCATGCTCCAGCACCTTCCTGGCAGAGTTCAGATCTACCCATCCAAGGCTCTTGTTACCATCTCTGATTCAGACTCAGACCCACCTGCAGATGTCTCAGATTTACAATGGTTTGTTTCTAACCTGGTTGACATTTAGAGCAGGGGTAAGCACTCCAGCTGTGATTAAACTACAATATGAAGCATTGCAAGACTGACAGCCACAGGCAGGGGTTTGTAGTTTCACCACAGCAGGAGTGACAAGGTTGCCTATCCCTGATTTAGAGGATCAGCGTGCTGTTCCAGGCTTGCAGTCTTTTAGAGCTCCCTCAGCTACAAAGACCTTCGTAGTACACCTATTATTCCTATTTCCGAATACTCCCTCTGAGTTAGGGAGTCTGGAATCTAGTGAAGGCACTGAGATGGTCTCTTTAGACCAAAAAGTTCCAGATGCTGTACTGTGAACATTGTTCTAAATCTTAAGAGTTGTCATGAATGCAAGAGGTGAGGGGAGCTCTTCCAATAGGGACAGATGATCCGGCAACAACTGTTTAAAAAGAGAATTTCTCTCACTATGGGAGAATTCCATTCACTTCCTGTTGTGTCTTCAAGAAAGGGAAGTGAAGGGAAAGCAAAAAAACCTTTGTTGGGGTTTTAATTGTTGCCTACAGCATCCAAAATGTTTATTTTGTCCAAACATACACTTTATTGCAAAACTTAAAATTCATTCTAAAAGAGGAGCATAGAGCTCCACCTAAAGCTTGTAAAAATTCTAAAATATTCAAATGCAAGAGGACGACAGTTAAGAGATCTATGGGGTAACCTTTTTATCCCATAGTTCTCTTTAGGGTCACGGGAGGACAATTACTAACCTCGTCCCGTGACCCAAAGCTCAATATATCGCAAGCTTTTGCTCGCGATATACTTAGAGCGCAGCAGCCGGTATGGATTTTGACAATACTGTCCAGGTCCACCCAGCTGGCTGATGGACAGCTGGCTCTGCCCATCTAGAGGTAGAGCCAGCTTTGCCCGCCCCCTTCCCTGTCCGTTCCTCCAGTCAGCGCTGGAGGATCGGAGAGGGGATGGGGGAATCCCTGCGAGAGCGGTGACTGACAGGGCAGGGAGATGATCGGGAAGTGAGCGAGCGATGGTATGTTCGCTCACTTCCCGATCTATAGAGCCGACGTGTGACAGTTTCAATGTCACACTTCGGCTCTAACTTTCACTGACCTCATAGTTCTCCTTTAAGTGTGCATAATCATTTCCATATTATGTGCTCAAGTGTACACATAATAAGGGAATATAATACATACAAAAACAATATACATTCCCTATAAGATAATTTACAAGAGTGTTTTCCTTTGGCAGGAGCTGCACATGAAATGGATAGCTGTAACCAGAGCTTGAGAAACATGAACATGAACATAAACATTTTTCTTTTTTTGTGTGTGTCTCTCCTAAAAGACCTAGATTTAAGCCAAAGAAAATATTTCAGCGGTCTCATAGGAAGGTCGGTTGTTGGTTATACGATGTGTTTAAACCACTGTGTTCTACCCACCACCCAGCCACTAGCAGGAACAATGTTAGGAAGTGGGGGATGTTTTAGAGGTCATTGTATGTTTACAATTGCATTCATTTTCTTCACAGTTCCCAGCAGATTATCACGCTCATTGGGTTCAATGACACAAGAGTCTAAATGAATACCGAGGTGTGTGCAGATTCACATGAAATAAAACAAGCAAGTCATTTTGTCCCTAAAAATTTCATTATTGAAATGTTATGCTGACAGCAGATACATCAGTGTATTGTGCAAAGCAAAAAAAAAAAAAAAAAGTATTTTTGTGACCATAGATACCAAGTTATTCCTGAAATACAGGCAAAAACATGATGCCACAGTCTGCATCTTTCTTCTTTGTCGCAGGTGGGAACAGAGGGGCAGATTCTCAGGAAAATCTTTTGTTGGCAATAAAAATATTAAAATAAGGAATGCACTGCTTAGCTGGCACCATAAAGCAGCACATACTACTTATGCTGTAAGCAAAATCCCTCCACAAGTGCCAGCATAGTCTCCCACCTAACTTTTGGATTATGGGGAAGATAGGCATGCCTTTCTTCTCCCCCACTTGTGCAGTGACTCTGCAACCAGTTAACAGGTCCATACACTGTTTGGTGTGGGCAGGAGAAGCATGCCTAAGCTTGTGCAAGTACCCGCTTTCTTAAAGTTGGTTGAACTTCTTTGGACTCTGGAGCTGTTTTCATAGGAAACGTCTTTAAAAACACATGTAGATCTTACCACCTTACAGCGTCTTATTCACACCCTCTCAATATTTTTATAGAAATACAGATACAACTGTTACATTGCCAGATGGTCTATAAACATTTTATTTTCAAGTGCTTCACAAGGCAGACAGACTATTTATTTACAAAAGAAATACGTTCATAAATTTACTATATATATATAAAAAAAAATAGGTAGATTTCCTTTCTCTTTCTGAACTGTTGGGTCCCTGCAGTAAGCAAGTGACACTGACTGGCAAAAAGCCAAGCTGCATATGACAAGGAGGGTGGGATGGATTTATGGGTGGATGAAACCAGGCCAATGCTGAAACTCTCTGGGTTTCTGAAAAGGTGGTTAATGAGAAACCAGGCTTGGTTGGTCCTATCTTTTGATAATCATACTTATTAAATCAGAGCTGGAATCAGACACTGACCACATGGGCATGCATTGTAACTTTTAAAGGTAGATACCCTTGCTGGTGGACAAAAATGAAACTTTGGATTGGAGACCAGTCTATGGGGTTATTCCTGTTCAAAGCCTCTGAAAACTGCAGTATTTGTCTCTCTGAAGACTCTAGCACTTTAGCAGGAATTCATAACGCAAGGTTGAGTGGCAGGAAACACTAGTTGTGCATATAGAATAAGCAAGTTTGTGTACTCTGTCTGTCAGACTTGACTTGTTACTGTGCAGTCTTGAATCTATCATTCAGATATTAGGGGTTCCTGTTGTGTATATATATATATATATGTGCAGTAACAAGACAAGTCAGCCCTGCACTTTCTTTTTAGAGGAAATACTATACATGTAAATAGCA